AGTCCTAAATTATTTTCTGAGTTAACTGGATTTTAGTATTTTCAAAGCCATTGCCACTCAGACTTTCCAGCCCAATTACCCAATGAAGGAAGGAAGGGGATAACTTCAATGGACTTTTTGTTAGGGTCCACAAAGGTGCCCCTCTTTGCCACTGGGGGGAAGAATAGAAAAGCCTTTCTTTGAATTTCTCATTATTGAGGATTCAGGAAGTTCTTGAAGGGGTGATTGAATGTAAAAGAAGTATCTCAGTGTTAAATTTGTTGCTCTCATTTCTTGTTACTATAATTTATCTCTTTTGTTCAGAATAACTTTTTTTTCTTTACCATATCATCAAATGAGAGAATTTTTTTAGGAAAAAATAAGTACTAATTAATATGGGAAATAATAACATAAGGCGATTAGCCCAATAATTCACACGTATTAAGCAATAAATAAATAAATAAATATTATGGGCAATCATCAAAGGGATCGTTACAGTACACAGTATTTTCCAATTTTCTGTATTTGGAAACAAACAAAAATAACAACAATTAAAAAAAAAAAAAAAAGAGTCCCTTTTTGCCCAGAGCATTTAGAGTTGCACAGAACTTAAAAAAGTTTCTGAAATACACACAAACTCTATCCAATAGTAGGTCCATGATTTTGGAACTACCATTTGAAGTGTTATCACCATTTTTAATCACTGTTTAAGAAACACTTGGTCCTCAGCAATGAAAAAAAAAATCAGGGAGACAAAGGAGGAAGAGTTGGTTTGATTTTTTTTTTTTTTGGAGGAGCGCACATAAATTTGTACATATTTATGGGTGACAAGTGATGTTTTGATGCTTTTATACAATGCATAATGCTCAAATCATGGTAAGCACACCTATATCTTCAAACATTTATCATTTATTTGTAGTGAAAACATCCAAAATTCTTCCTCCTTGCTCTCTTTGACATACACATTATTATTATTACTTGCCATCCTACTATGCAACAGAACCCCAGAACTGTCTGACTATAACTCAGTGTACACTGACCAACCTTTCCCCATCCTTCTTTGGTTGTTTCGGAGGTGGGGGTCTTGCTCTGTTGCCCTGGTTGCCTTTGAATTCCTGAGCTCAAGCCATCTTCCTACTTTAACCTCCTCAGTAGCTGAGATTACAGCCTCATGACACCATGTCTGACCCTTGTTTGTTTTTTAATGGATTACAAAATACATCAGAACAAAATATCGCCAGACACAGTGGTGTACACTTATAATCCCAGAGACTTAGGATGCTGAGGCAAGAGGATCACAAGTTTGAGGCCAGCCTCAGTAATTCAGTAAGGCCCTCGACAACTTGGCAAGACCTTATCTCAAAATTAAAAAAAATAAAATAAAAAGATTTGGGATATGGCTCAGTGGTAAAGCACTGCTGAGTTCAATCCTCAGTACCAAAACAACAACAACAACAACAAAAAACCTCTATGACTTTTATTTAGGTCCCAATGATGTCATCTAGTATCAATAATATCACTGATGCACAATTAATAAGCTGGTTCCTCTACTCTATAAACATTAAATATGGGTCCTGTTTTCTTTTAAACTTGGTAATCTATAAAGCTCAGCACCAGATAAGCTATAGTACTATTACAAATGTTTTCCTTGTCTGCCCTGGAATTTACCTCTTTTGGCTAAGTATTTTATACTTAACATTTGCTTTACAACTAACGTTGAGTACATTAGAGTATGTTACAAATAGAGTTTTTCTGTGTTTAAAAAAAAAAAAAAAAGGTACTGGTACATACATAAAAACAAGAGTGCCTTTCATAGAATATGCTATTGACAGTCAACATGGAGCTGAGCCAGGGAGAGAAGAGAGCACAAGGCAATGGCCATTATGACTGGAGCACTCTAGGTCAGAGCACTCACTGGATGTTCTTTTTTTAAAAAAAAAGATAGTAAGTATTTCAGCTAAAGGATGAGACACTCTTTCCCACACTCTGGTCCATATTTGTAAACATTCTGGTGGTGGTGGTGGTGGTGGTAGATAGAATAGCAAAACCTTAGTGGCCGTTCATTTCTCTATCAGCCCAGATAAACTAGTTTCATTATGTGTTTTTACTGTGGCATGAAAATATCATTTGCTGGACTCTCTGGGCAGCTTAAGAGCTGGGATCAGGAAAAAACAACCAATAGAGATGTTATTGACATTTCCATAAATTCCATTTGAGCCTCTCTTTTTCCCACTCTTTCTCCAACCCCCTTCTCTCTTTATACTACGTTTCCACCTCAATTTCTCTTCTGCTCCTTTTTCTTTCTATCTTATCTACATCACACTTAAGTACATGATGCCAGTGTAAACCCAAAGGTACTACTTAATACCACAAAGAACTGATAAGGCACCTAGGGAAAGATATAAGACATTTGGAGAGAATTTAGTCCTGAGATTCTTTAGATTAAAAAATAACAATAAAAAATCAAATCATTAAGTAATTTAAAAGAAGACAGGGAATCCTAGAAACTCATTTGAAATAAATGTGTTTAGAAACTGCCAAGTATTTCCTGGGGCACAATCGCCCCAGATGAACATTTAATGATGAAAACCCCTGCTAACTCAACAAATCTTGTCAGCTTTTATAAAAGCCCTTTTCCTCCTATTAATCCCTTCACACTGCCACAGTGGAAAACTTTCTTCAAACATCCTTGGCACTAATTGACACAAGCGTCATATTATCACAAAGTCTTTAACAATATTGCTTAGAGCAGCGTCTACACACTGAATATCTAAAGTGGGCTATAGCTCCATTGTCCAAGAGAAACAAAATATTAGTGACCTTATGTAATTCCAAATTTGCTCAACATAGTAAGAAAAAGAAACAAGTGGAATTTACATCCTCACTGTCTTCAAAAATCAAGTTTGTTCCTTACACTTACAGCACACCTCAATTCCATTGCTACACTTCAAGTGTCACATTGACTACTGGCCATAATATTGGATACTGAAGCAGCACAATGTATGTCAATGAATATGAAAAGGAAGTAGAAATAGATCAAATAGTATAAGCTTAAAAAATAACAAAATCCATTCTAGAAGATTCAGCACAGATGTCCCCGCAGTATGGGCTACACTAACTTTCCAGTTACTTCCCTAGAAACTTATCAATTATATAAAATATAACATTATATCCCAAAGAACTTATAACTGGTTAATGTCCCTCACTTAGCCTTACTGTCCCACCTATTATAAGGAAGCTGAATTCACACTGTAAGCACCACTCTCTATGGAGGAACCTTCTAAAACAGAGTGGGCACAGCTTGATGCACAGTAAGGCGTATTTATGTTTTATGTATATACAGAGTTATATAACAACATGCTAAAAGAAATTACATACAAATGCAGAGAATTATGAATACATTTTATTCTTTCAAAAGGAGTAGTACTACCTCTAAGCAACTTTTTGAAAATTGGCAGGAGACCAGAGATGCCAAAGTCCTTGAAATGCCTTGGTGGTACCACACAGCTAAAGTTTAGCCTGCTATGTTTGAAGGAGAAATGGGCCCTTGCCAGACACTGGATCTGCTAGCATCTTGAACTTGGAATTCTCAGCCTCTGGAACTGAAATATAAATTCCTGTTGTTTATGTACAACCCTGTTTATGACATTTTTGTGATCACAGCCCACATAGACAAAGACAGCCAATGCCCACACAAATTTTGACTGTCCCAGTACACATTCATTTACATGAAAAATCTTGGTAAAATTAATTGAGCCTAGTACCTATTACAAATAGTGTAGATTAAACCGTCACTATATGTAAATCTCCAAAAACATATAAATATCCTATAACCTGAGGGCATGTTATCAGCTTTCCATTACTATAACAAGTACCCAAGATAATCAACGTAATAAGAGAAAAGGTTCACTTTGGGCTCACAGTTTGGGGAGTTTCAGTCCATGACAGATTGGTCCCATTATTTTAGCCAGTGGCAGCACAGTATATCATGGTTGGAGCATGTGGCAGAAGAACTCTATTAACCTCAAGGCCAAGTGCAAAAGATAAAAAGTGGAAGGGGTGGGGTCCCACAAACCCCTTTTGGGGGAACAACCCAAATAAAAACCAGAAGACTTCCTATAGGCCCCAAATCTTCAAGTTTCTATCACCTCCCAATAGTGCCAAGTTGGGAATTAGGCCTTTAACACATGGGGGCTCATTCCAGATTCAAACTACAGCAGAAGGTCAGCAGTTCTCAATTTGGTTTTTATTCAGAAAATGCAATCATGGAAGGTTAGGCTACTTGTGACACTAATACCACACAACAGTACCAACCTGCTTCTGAGGATACAGAAGATTATTACATACATAGCATGTGCTAGAGTAGCCCCCCACCCCCCTTGTTCTGGGGATACCTGTTCTCAAATGTTCAATGGATGCCTGAAATCATGGAGAGTACCAAACCCTAAATATACTATGTTTGTTCCTCATATATACCCTATGATGAAGTTTATTTATAATTTAACACACTAAGAGATTAACAACAATAACAGAAAAATCATATTATACATAATAAAAATTATTTAGAACTTATGAATTATCTATTTCTGGAATTTCCATTTAATATGTTTGCACCATGGTTGACCACGAGCAACTAGAACTGTGAAAAATGGAACCATGGATGGGGACTGGGAAGCTACTGTACCTCTTTATGTCTTCAAGCATACTCATGCTGACTGTGATTGAATGTATGGAATCTGTTTATATATATTGCTATACTGTTAATTACAGAAATTTCTTTATTTCTTCCTAATATTTATTTTAGATGGTGCATTATGCCAGGTTTTTATATTTTTATATCAAATACTTTTAAATTATAATAGGGATCAGAATTGCACTTCAAAACAGTCAAGGGGCTTTACCAAATATTTATTATAAAAAAGGTGTGTTGAGGCTAATAGGGTTAAGACCTGCCTAGTTTACAACAAGCCAAATGATACACAATATACTTATCCTAATCCAAATAGCTGCATGTCCCTTACCTTCCACACTCGGGGAAGGAAAAGCAATCATCATTAGCACAGGAAGAATCATCACTCCATCTATCATCGTACAACTGTGGAGGGAAGAGAAAAGAAGTAAGTCAAACAAAAATTTAACTGCAGGATGACAAATTCAATTAAGCATACCATCTTTCTCTGCCACTGAAGGCCCCTCTTACAAATCCCTCTAACGTATGTTCCCATATGTTTTAGCACATTCAATTGGATGCCCTTTTCATTGATCTAAGAAAGTCATCTAAGGAGTTAATCAGATTCACTTTCTCGGAACCCATCCTCTTAGATGAAAAACTCAGGAAGGAAACTCAGGGAGTAGTGGTGTAAAGGCTGAAGATGAGGCATTCCCACAGATTTCAGGTTTGAATTTGATCTTACCCTACTGAACACTACATTGACATAATAGTAAAATCCCTAAGAAGAATGGATATACTACTCTAGCATGATGTTAAAGATTAAGAGACCAGGGCTGGGGTTGTGGCTCAGCGGTAGAGAGCTCGCCTAGCACGTGCAAGGCCCTAGGTTCGATCCTCAGCACCACATAAAAATACATAAATAAAACAAAAGTATTGAGTCCAACTATAGCTAAAATATAAATATTTTTTAAAAGATTAAGAGACTGAATAACTCAAGCTGAATTACTATATTTGTGCCTTACTTTGCTTTAAAAGGTGAAGAGGCGGTGGAATCTGCATTTCAAAGAAAACAGTCAAACAAGCAAACAGAAATCACCTCATCTATGGCAAAGCAATGCATTTCTAGTTCACCTTAGATTTTAACAAAGGACAGATGCAATTAAGACAGGAATACTCCTGAAATATGAAATCATGTACATCTATAATATATGAAATTATCATTGAGAAATTATCATTAGGATAGTTGACAAAAATTTCAAGTTGGTGTTGGCCTAAAACTATATTGGCAGAAGCTCAATTTCCTGAGTTAAGAATTTTTCCACTTGAATAAGTCCTGCAAATATCAGGAACCTGATGGGAATTTGGCTAGACACAATTTTCTGGATAGAGTAACAAAGAAAACTGATAAAGTTCTTTATGAATAGGCTAATGTGCTACCTTACTCTTGCACCTTCAAACCAAAGGGCAAATTCTGTTAACCCGTTTGGAGTAGATTCCTTGTGATTCTCCTTCAGTTGATTGTCTGACTGTTTCCTTACCACACTCCATCCCATCTTTCTACCTCTCATTTAATATTTTCCTTTTTCCACAATTATATTTCAATCTATCACTTCTCTAATAGCAAGGAGGGGTACTGGGGATTTTTATGCACCTTTCTTTTATCTTTAAAACCATATGAAACTGGAGTGGCCCTCTTCGACTGTAGTTGTTATAATAATTCGCGTTCACATAGATCTTTTCTGTAGCAAGTCTTTTTTGAGGCTACAAATTCCTCATCTTGACCTCTCACAACCACAGGCCGACTCCTCTGACACTCTCTATGCCTTTGAACAGCAATATGCTATTTGTTGCCCTCTGCTTGAACTGACCTGAGCTGCTGTACCCACAACTCTCTCTTACCCACTCCTCTCCTCATATCATTCATGATCTAGCTCATAAGGTGGTATAGTTTGAATCTGCCCCCCAAAAGTTCCTGTATTGCAATCTTAATCCCCAAAGATATATATTAGTAGTATTTGGAGGTGGGGCTTTGGGGAAGGTGATTAGGACAAGATAAACTTGTAGTCTTTATAAGAAGAGGAAAAGTGACCCTAGCCAGCTGCCTCACTGCCATGTTATAATGCAGCAAGGGGGGCCCTCACTAGAGCTGAGCAGATGCTGCAGCTGTGTTCTTAGATTCCCCTGCCTCTGGAACTATAAATTTCTTTTCTTCCCAAATTACCTGGCCTAAGGTATTGTGCTGTGGGGACAGAAAATTCTCCATCCTAAGAGATTTCATTTCAGCTCCCCAGCACTGGTGCAGAACAACTTGTAGTCGTGTCTGTTGAAATTCCCAGCAAGAGCCACCCGCCTTGGATGCATGCATCCAATGGCCATACAAAATACTCCTTGAGCCATGGAATAAAAATACTAAACTCCCTTTTTCACAAAACTGTGAATTTCAAAAAGTAGTAAATGACTAAAGTCTTTATTGGAAGTCTTTCTCAGTTCCCTGTGACAGCAGAACGAGAGGTGGCTTTCAGGAAGAGCAGAGTTACAGGATGAAAGGGTGGGCATGATCTGCTTATGGAGTGCAGCTGTGCACTATAGATTTGAGGGCCCATTTAAGTGGATTCATAATTTATACTGGCTGGTTATAATGAAATGAGCTCTCCCCCAAGGGGAGGTGTCCTAAAATCATTAAAGAAACTAGAGATTGATTATGTTACTGATGCAAGCACCAGAAGAATAAGAAAACGATGCCCCAACATCATTTATTCCTAGTAGTTCTTCTTTAACCACTTTACTGAAGAAAAGTTAAGAATATTCAGGTTAATCTGGTATGAAGCAGTCTCCCCAAATCCATAATTTTTAAAAAAAATGGAAAACTGAATTCACGTCCTCTGACATATATAATAAATATTACTTGAATGCCGGGCTTTTCAGTAATAATGTGATGCCATCACTATTACCTTAAATATTTTATATTTGGCTTTTTTTTCATAGCTTTATTGAGGTAAAATTAAAGTACAATAAAATGCACATATTTGAAGTATCATATTTAGTTTTTAAAGTTTCTTTTTAATATATTGCTAAAATTTAGATCTTGAATGTCCCCCAAGGGACCACGTGTAAAACTTTTGGTCCCAGGGGTGGTGTTACTGGAAGATGGAGGAATCTTTAAAAGATGAGGCCCAGTAGAGGGTTGTTGGGTCACTAGGAGCATGTCCTTGAAGGGGACCGTGGAATCCTAACTCCTTCTTTCTATTTTTTAACCTGACCATGAGGTGAGCAGTTTGCTCCACCATGAGATCCTCACCATTGCTATCCATACCTCAACTAGATGCCTAAAGCAATAGGTCTAACCCATCATGGACTAGAACCTCTACCATGGACAAAACAAACCTTTCCTCTTTCTAAGTTAAATGTCTAAGGTATTCTGTTATAGTGATGAAAAGCTAAGGGCTGGGGATGTAGCTCAGTGGTAAAGTGCCACTGGGTTAAATCCCCAGTATCCAAAAAAAAAAAGAAAGAAAGAAATTAAGAGGAATTCTGATGTCTCTTAGTCATCTGTCAGTGTTACATCATTATCACCATAACACTAGTGACACTTCCTAATGAGCCTGGCACCGTGCTTAGGATCAATATGCATTATTTTATCCAATCACTCCCTAAAACACTATAAAAAATACTCATATTAATCCTATTCTATGGATTTTCTAATGGATGAGTGGAAGTAACTGATCCAAGGACCCAAAGCCAAACCCATATATATATTTTATAATACATACTTTGCATATAATATAAAACACAAATCAACATATTTTGAGTGTACATTAAAAAAATTAAACTGATCTGATAAGTCATCAAAAGCCATTTGAGACCATTAATCTATTTTTTTCATCTCAGTCTTATCTCTGAATTCCCAGTCCTTCTTTCATTAATTCATTCATGCATTCAAATACTATTGAGAACCTACTAGGTGGTGTAATAAGGAACTATATACTACATATTAGACATGAAAATATGGTTCTTGCTATTGTGGAACTTATAACATAGATATGCTGGTAGTCAAATAATTATCAAAAAGATTGCATAACTTAAAAACTAAAATATTAAGTAAGAAATAATTAAACTATATTGCCAAGAAAGCAAGCTGAGATATTTCTGGGGCATGAGGGAATTATATATACTACCCTGAGGAGGTAGTATTTTAATAGGACCAGGACAAAAGTATTAGGAAAATGGGAAGAGCACGTGCTCCAGGTGTGTGTGTGTGTGTGTGTGTGTGTGTGTGTGTGTGACAGGGGATGTGATGCAGACATGGGCAGGCACATCAGGGTATCATGTAAGGAAAAAGGTACAATTCCTCAGCTTCTGTAGAGGCCCAAGGCCAGGACAAGTGAGGTATGTCCCAAGAACTTAAGGCTTAACTTAGAACAGAAAAACATGAGAATGGCCAGGTACCAGAGACCTGGAAGAGCTCTGAGCTAGAGACAGCCCAAGAAAGCTGGAAAGGGAAACTACCATCATTGCTGAGGTAAGGCACTCTAAGCCCGTGTCCTCACTGTTACTGAGCCCCCCTTGGTTCTCACCACCATCTTTTCCTTAGTTCCCTTGTGTTAGAGTCTGTAAACAAGTCTGGATAACACCCTTGGCCCCTTACTTCTAGGCACTCCAATCAGTCTGCTTCTTGCCCATCTCTAGACCTGTGTATGTGTGCTGTCACTGGGTCCTCTTTATAGCCCAACCTGGCCAATTCCTACTCATCTATCAAGTCTCAATATAAATGTCCCTTCCTTATAGTAGGGTGCCTAACCCCTCAAAAACCTTTCTTTCACTTTCACATATTACTTTGTTAATTTTCATAGAAATCATCATTACTAATAATTATGTATTCAGATCTTTATGGGCTTCTGAACATGTCTCCCTTATACACTAAAATCCATAGCAGCAAAATCTATTGTCTACCTTGTCCATCAATGCCAGAGCCATGTAGATGCACATTTAATACCTGTCTAATTACAATGCTTTCCAAATTAATAAGCTCAGCTTATTAAAAAAATGAATACATATCCTTCTATATATACCTGTAAAGGAATGACAAGATTAAAAAATGTATCATCTCAAATTACATTATATGCATGTATAAATATGACATAATGAGTCCAATTTATATATAATTACAATACGCCAATAAAACAAATAAATAAATAATGTATCATCTCCATAAACTTTAATGTATAGAGTTTTAATCTGGGTAATAGTTAATGTTAATAGTTACCAAGCTTTAAAGTCAAAAATCCTTTTGGAATTAAAAAAAAATTCAAAAAGCAATGACACTGCTGTACTTTCCATACCACAAAGCCAACAAAAGCTGATGCCCCAAAATATCTATTTACAGATTATCATTATGCAAGCAAAATTAATTTCAGCTCATAAATAAGGAGACATAAAAAGAATGATAAATTCTGTCCCCCAAACTAATCTTAAAATATGCTAAAAATTATTGGGGTAAAAAAAATCAATATCACTTACTGGCTACCACTGTTCAGGGTTTGGAGTGCCTCTGCTGCCCATTAATTCAGCTACTGAAAAGAGCACCCCAAAAAGGAAAGGGGGAAAAATGCAGAAAAGAGAATGTTCTGAAAATTCCTGATGGCACTTTAATTATAAGAAACATCAATATGTTAAAGTATCAACCTAAAGAACCTACTTATAACTTCAAAACATATTAAAAAAATATATTGCCTTTAAAAGTAAACTTTCAACTCCTCTACTCTTGGTAAGAAAGAGAGATTGGCAGAAATGGGAATAGGAACAATTCAATAATTCAGGGATACCTCACTAATGGTTTTCAAACTTTTTGGCCTCATGATCCCTTTATACTCTTGAAAATCACTAAAGAACTTGTTTATGCAGTCTATATCTACTCATTTAGTTTAATTTTAGGAATTAAAACTGAAAATTTTTAAAAATATTGTGTTTATATTGAGGTAACAATAAACACACTACCCTGTTTTTATACATTTGAAAAGAACTGTATTTTAAACCAACAAAAACAACAACAACAAAAAAAAAAAAAAACAGGAGAAAAGTGGCACTGCTTTACATTTTGCAAATAAGTATGTTTGACTAAGAAGATACCTGAATTCTCAAATATGATTCTACATTCAACCTGTTATAACATGTTGGACTGGTTAAAATATATAGAGAGAAAATGTAACCTTGCAAATGGTATTGGAAGAAGGATCTTGCCGAACCCCCACAAAAGTTTCAGAGACACCAGGGACTCTTGGACCACACTTTGAGAATCACTGCCTTGCAGTTTAGATGCTCAGTTCTTCTACTAAACCACTTCACCAAATGGTACCAGATATATTAGACAGAGCACTTGCCCCATACCTGACCAAAATGCTACTGTTCTTCAGTTTTAGAAATCTCTTTAATCATTCTAACATCAAGAAAAGCTTATCAGGGCTGGGGATGTGGCTCAAGCGGTAGCGTGCTCGCCTGGCATGCGTGCGGCCCGGGTTCGATCCTTAGCACCACATACAAACAAAGATGTTATGTCTGCCGAGAACTAAAAAAATAAATATTAAAAAAAAAAAAAAAGCTTATCAGTTGTGGAAAAATGCATTAGAAATGCTTTTAAATGTAGGAATGATATATATACAACTAAATTTTTTTAAGTAGAATATAAACTTGTAATAGAAAGGTACTCACTGCTTATTTCATTTAGGTTCAAATGTCAAAGTCCCTAACTGAAGAATCAGGCTACTGGGATTGCAAAATATCATCTGAAGGGTTCTGAGTATGAATTTTTGCCTGTAATGTATACAACACTCCCTTCTGTTCTTGGATAATACTCTCAATCCCTGGTAACTAATCTTAACACTTCAGCCACAAGGAAAATAGCTCTTTGGAAAATGGCTAGGGACCTCCTGCCTAGCTAAGGCACCCTCTTGAATCAGTGCCACCTCTTACAATGTCTCAGGTCTACCTTCTTGGGAGACAGAGCATTCGCATGATACTCTACTAAAAACAGACAATCACAGGGCAGAGCAGAACCACTTTACAAATCCCAAGGTGCTTTTCAAACTCCATTTATAGATCAGACTGATATCCAGTCAAGAAGCTAGCATTCAGCCCAATTTCTAACGTGTAGGCTAAAGACCAAGTTTGGCACTTCTTTTGTTCACCACAATTTTATAGCTGAATAAAGCCATGAGTATGCTGATACACTACAAAAATAATCATTTTGATATTGGTCACAGAATAATTAAAGAGTATGATATACTGAATTTCTATATTCAACTTTTAGAACTGATATTAAGCAATCTATTTGATAAGCTATAATATGGCAATAAAGGTTATTTCTAAAATCTAGACTTAAGAGCAATGTACAATTTATGGTCCATAATACAGAAAATAGGGAGAAAGTTATCCAAAAATTCTACAGAATGTTCATTTGTCTGGCCTGGTAGCCCAAACTCACTCGGTTTGCCAATTGGTTTCAATACATAATTTAGACAACACCTAATTATTAAATAGGGACTTTCTTGATCCTCTTCTCAGTTTCACTTCTAACAATCTCTGAGTTAAAAAGAGTCTTGAAAGTGGGTCATATGAACACTCATCCCTGTTTTGAATGACTTTATACCAACTGGTACAGTCTCTTTAACCTTTGCTAGATTACCACACATAAGGGTTCTCTTACTTCTATTCCATGACAGTTTTTTTTTTTTCAACAACAACCAAAAAATACTCTATAATATAAATGGCAGAGGCAAAACAGAAATGTCAATCATGGTGGTGCACAATTATAATCCCAGCAACTTGGGAGGCTGAAGCAGGAGAATTCCAAGTTCAAAGCCAGTCTCAGCAACTTAGGGAAACCCTGTCTCAAAAAATAAAAAGGGCTGGGGGTGTAGCTCAATGGTAAAGTGCCCATGGGTTACATTTCCAATACAAAAAAAAAAAAAAGCAGAGGGAGAGAGAGATTCTGGTTTCTTTTAATTATCTATCAGTGTTATAATATTATCACCATAACACTAGATAACACTAGAGGCACTTACTAATAAGCCTGGTGTTGTGCTTTGAATCAACATGTATTATCTTATGCAATCACTCCCTAAAACACTTTGAAAAATATTCATGCTAATCCTATTCTATAAAAAAGAAAATGGATGAGTAGGAGTAACTGATTCAAGGACATAAGTTCAAATCCAAGACCACACAACCAGACTCCAGTGATCTTAATCAACTGTTACTCTACATAGCTTCACTCACTGGCCAGCCCGAGACAGGCCAGCAATGCAGTCTGTCATCCTTAATGCTTTATCCAAGTCTTCCTTCATTCTAAGTTTCAACAACCTTGATTTTTCTCTTAGGAAACAATCTTACCCATGGTTATTTGAATCACCTTTCAATCATCCCCTCCTTCTATTTCTCTAACCTCAAAATTAATTTCTTATACTCTGCAACCTCCAATTATTTCCCCTACCTTAACTCCTGCTTCCAAGAAAGGAGAAAAAAAAAAATCTCAATGTCAAAGAAAAAACAAGCTGTTTGTCAGAGCAAGTGGTTTCTTACTCCCATCCCCCACCCACTATCTTCAATTCTTCTGTAACACACACCTCAAAGTAAAAACAGAAAATAATATAAGGCACATTTGGGAACTAAGTTAAAACAAGACAAATTCTAGACACAAAAGTTTGAAGGAAAGTATACTTACAACAACCACCTCCCTGTAGGACAAAAAACAGCCATTAGAACTGATTAGATACTGTGAGAACATTTCTCTCTTCCAAGCTGAAGAGATAGACCTATCGGAAGGGTGGCTTGCTACAAACTTCCTGGGACTTTGGAAAGGGTGAAAAGAGATGGGGGTTGTCAGTAATAGCTGCAAAGAAAAGGTTCAACTAGAGCCAAAAGGCCATATAAGTTAAGTCAGGGTCTCTTCTTCAGTTCACAAATGACCTTTTAAATATTCTTAATGCCACACTCTGAACTAGTGATATGTGTACAGGCTGCCAGGGCTTGGTTTTATACAGACTTCACTGCTGCTGAGGGTTGCTGATAGGCTTTTACTTTCAGAACATTAGCATGTAATTTGATCTTTTGCAATAGATGAATACAAATAGTTTCTTGGACAAGTCCTATAGAACGGAAAACCAGCCCCTAAATCAGTTCATCCTGTGGTTAGAGAAAATAATTACAGATTATTTTAGGAAAGAAAGGATTTTAACTGAAAAAGTTAGACTAGAAACATCCCAGCTGTGACAGATGGACCCAAGATATGATTTGGAAAAAAATGGAAAAAAAAACCAATTTAATCTGTAAAAGAAGAAAAGAGGATGGTACTAAGTTGAGGGAGTAAAGGTTTAGTTTAGGCTACCACATAAGAAACAAAGATCCCCAATAAATTTATTTCAATTGTACACAAAATTGACTTTGTTATACCTCTAGTAGTTACACAAAGGAAAACTCAGGCAAGCTCCTGAGAATCCAATGTTCCGACACAAGTTCCTGGGACCCCAACACTAGGTTTTACTTCAACATGCTCTTGCATGGAGACTATGCCTCGTTTTCTACTTCACTCCCTGTATCCAGTAGCCATGGTCCTCCTGCTTCCTTTCAACTAATAGAACTCATCACCTCCCAGCTGTTTTGTTATATTCTCCCCTGCAGCACAGGGACACCACTTTCTCTCCCTTCAGTTTGTCCTGGAACAATATATATATTTTTAACCTGTGGATATCAGTGGCCCTATTATTCTCTCCCATAAAATCTTCTAGATTTGTAACTCTGAGTCCATTTAAAATCCAGTTCCTCATTACTTTTCAGTTAGAGGGCATCTCTGTCTCATTTCTTACTGTGCCTAACCTTAAATCTTTCCTTGAACCTGATAACACAGAGCTTCTATCCTCCCTATTACTAGATGGCCGGTGTTGCAGAACCTATCCTAGGACACAACTGTCCCAAGGCTAAGGCTAACAGTGTCAATCTGTAACAAGGTGCAGTGGAGGCAATAAGATGAAAGGGCTATCAGAGTCAGAGGGGTATAGCTCTGCTCTCCTCTCTCTCTCTCTCAACGGAAGACACTAGAGAACATTTCTGTGGAGCTGAGGAAAACAGCCATTTATACTCTGGTCTGTCCAGAGCCTTCCCACCCACCCCCACTCCACCCTCACACTCTAAGGCCATTCCTGGCTCAGACTTCCCACCCACCCCACCCATTGTACATCCCTGCTGTATCTCCTTCATAGCACTGGGTGACATATGTCCTTCACTTATTTATTTTGTGTTTCCCCTCTCTCTCCTCCACACACCAAAATGTAAGCAGCGTGACAGTAAAAACTACACGGCAACCTCCCCATGCCTAGCCCTCACCAGGTACTCAATATCCATTAAAGTACTTTAATTCTAACCTCTCAGTCTATGTTACACTTTGGTATGGGTGAGAAAGCAAGGTCTAGTTTAAGTTTTTGTATAGCTAAGCAAGGAAATAACTGGGAAGGGGAGTGCAGGCAGGCCCATGACCTCAATTTTAATATAGTAGCAACTGAGTATTTGAGATAAATTAAAAAGATATCATTTGTAACTTGGATTCCAGTTTTCAAGGGTGACATCCAAGAGAAGCAGCCAAACAAAAAGACGGCTGGCAGCCTCTGGTTATACCAGACAACTCCCTGGTGGACAATATCCCATTTGGAAAGAGCCGCTTGGATCTCTCCTTGCAGACACCAGCTGATCTGCCCAGAGCCATCCCCAGTGACCTCTGAGACAGCTTGTGTAGCTTGAAAATATATCTCCTACAAGTCAAAAATTGACATATTATCTCCCCCCCCCCCAGGCTTCTAACAGTTATTGGCGCTATTTGGAAAGCTATGCTTCCATGCCTATTAATAACCTTCAGAAAGAACCCCAAGGAAGTGTCAAGAGAAAAAAAATACGTGGCTGAGGGAAGCCAAAGACTCAATCAGAGGTTACACTTAGCAATTAGTATATCTGAGGAAAAACAAAATGAAAGTTTTAATATCTTCTGTATTAGATTTTATCTTGTCAGGAGGCTGAAGACAAAATACTTAGCCAATGAATTCAAGGACTTCAAGTCAAGAACCCTGGTCTTTATTTATGGAAAAGGGATACTTTTGAAAAAGACTCCTAACCTATTTAAATAAACCAGCACCAGCAATTAACTATATGCACATCAATTATTTCAGAGATTTTTGTCCACAGGGCTGATATCATTAAGCCTTTTATAGTTATTTACACCTTTCTAAAGTTTCTCCAAGTGACACATTAAATAGCAACCAGCCCAACCTACTCTAAAGAATGGAATTGCTAATTAATCTTTTAAAAAGTCTTTTCTTAGTGGTCTTCCCCCCCACCCACCCAACTAGAATGTGATTAATAGAATTGTCTCACAATTTAGCTTGAAATATGCTTTTGCCAGTCGAGCAGCTAAAGCAGAATCAGATAATTGTGGTATGACTCAACAAACGCACAGCTGTTCATTTAAATATATCCATCAAAAGTATAAATACGATCATGAGAAAGAAAGGGAGCCATGTACCAGGGTCAGTGCACAAGTTGAATGGGTTAGCATCCAAGTAACCACAACAGAAAACAAGGAGGAGATGGGGCAGGAGACAGGAAGAGGTTCTAGAGGAATACTGTATGGGGGGAAAACAAAAAAATCAAAAAAGATGTGACCCACGGGAAATACTCACTGACCTAAATACAGCAACAATGCTAAGAGAAAAACTAATTGCACTGTATTAAATGAGGAGAAAGAAATGAATTTTAAAAAATAGACAATGGTCCCCAAGTAGGGAGGTATAAAGCCTACAGGGTAGAAATCAATGAATCTTGTTTATAAAAACAAAGACCCCCCACCCCACACAAAGCAGAGGAAGACAAGAACAGGATTCTCGCCTCCCTCCTAGTACACACACATGGCCTTGATACACTATGATTATGAAATCATCATGGAAATGTGGGATTACCTCCAACAGACCCATAGTACAGATGGTACCCAAGTTAATACTTTCAACTATATGCTGATAAGAATGTGATACACAGACTTGGAATTTTGAACTTTTCTGGACTAGCGATGTACCCAACTCTCCTCTCTGGATGCATAGAGCAGCAGCAAGCTGCCACTCCCATCAGCCCTGCAATCTCGAGGACAAACCACCGCAGGCTACACTGGACTGTGGTGCTCAGCTGTGATGTTGGTTGGGTTAGGCACATTACATGCATTTTCAAAGTGCATTATTATCAATTTATAGTGGATTTCGTGGGACATAACCTCATGGTAAGTTGGGGAACATATGCACATAACTTAATAATGGGAAACCTCTTTTGAAGGTCTTACACATTAAGGACAGTCGTTTGCATGGGGCAAGGGAATGAAGAAAAAAAAAACTAAGAACACTGGGGTGGGGGGCTCTTTCCAGCACTGCAGACCCCATTCCTTCCCCCTTCCTTAGGCATGGGTCATAAGGCCCAGAAAGAATCTGAGAAGCAGAGGCACAAAGATCTTGATCCTTTCCAAATACATTATTCAAAATGCTAATAAATGAAAAAGGATCTAATTTATTACGATGATTTCTAACTTTTCTCTCAACCAACAAAGTGTCCTTCCAAAAAAAAATAAAACAATTGCCGCGGCAGTGGAGGAATGGAAGCCCATGTGTAGCCTGACTACTCAGCCGTCCTGCACTGAGAGCCATTCCTATTCTCTCCATTTATAAGCAACCTCTCTTATATTATCACAAGTGTCAATAAAATTCAACAATTACTACCTGAGGGGTAACTGAGTCAGGCCCAAGTCCTCCCCTATCTATCTGCTTCATAAAGAGCCATCTACACTGGTTGCCCCCATCACCCTTGTTAGGCCTCAGTCCACAGTGTTCTGCTCAGTCAACTTGCTGCAACAACCCCTCACTAAGGCAGGGACTCTTCTCAGTCCATCCATTGTCTTGTCAGACTCACAGAAAAACTTCCATAACACACAGATTACCCACTCCCAAGAAGCAATGATCTGTGATGAGGCCCAGGAACCCTCCACCCTCCAGCAATTCACGTGATGCTGAGAATGACGAAAGGTCTCACTTGTGCATGATGCAGGATGGAGTCATCGATAACTCCTGTCTTCCCTTGAACTCTTCCCTGAGAACCACAGGCCCCACTCTCCAGTGTCTTTAATGCTTTGTTATGTCTAAGGTTCTCTGGAGGTGGATTCCTCTTCCGCCACACATCCTTAAATCGTGACACCTCAGTCTCCTCTTCTTCTTACTCAAGGTGCTATTCATGTTCTTAGATTCAAGTTCCACTGTAGACCACCAGGCTCAACCATTAAGTTGAAAATGGAATCACCCCCAGATCTTTCCTTCCTTATTACCTTCTTCCCCATGTATTCTTGTCTTTTTACCACTTATAAAATAAACGTTTAAAATTTTTATTATAGATATTTCAAGTCACATGGAAATAGAAAATATGATCAATGCCAGTTTTTCACATCGTTTCAAAAAACAAAACAAAACAATAAGCTGACCCCAGTTCCAAAAGAATTCAATTTTATATCTTCTATTCTGCCTGGTTTTTTTTTCCCTGAGGTATTTTAACCATAATCCCAATGTCATATCATGTTTCCCACAAATTCTCTAATAGGTAAGTACTGCTTCTAAACATAAATGCAAATCCAACATCTCACGTAACAAAGTTAAAATTATTCTTCCTCCAAATATCATATACCAGCTAATCAGTATTTACATCTGGTGAATTTCCAACTATAAAAACCTCCCCCAAGGAAAGAAGATTGGGATAGTATAAAAAGATAAAACCATTCAGATCCACTTTCAGGTCTCATAAGTAGTATCTCAGTACTGTGACATCTTTGAGAATACTGTGCATACAATGTGGGTGAAAGTAAATGAGTAACTGGGGTCTTTTCTTTTTTTCTTTTTGGTAGTAGTGGGGAGTTTGAACCCTGGGGCCACGAGCACACACATGCACGTCAAACACTCAACCACTAAGTTACATTCACAGGTCCTTCTAATTTTTTGTTCTGAGACAGGATCATGCCAAGTTGACTAGGCTCGTCTTGAAATTGTGATCCTCCTGTTTCACCTTCTAGAGTCACTGTGATTAAAGGCATGCACTACCATGCCTGGCCATTCCCTATTATTTTTGAGAACCAGAATTCCCTATGTGGACTAAAGGAGATATAGATGCAACACCGAAAAGATTAAGTAAAAACCTTTTAATCTGAATTTGAAGTATCAGCATTAAGTAATTTCTATACATACTTCATTATTGAACTTCAAAATATTGACCCATCTAGTAGCAGTGAGCACCCCTGGTACCTACACTGTGATGTTAAAATGCCACTTTCCACTTAAATTAGGATAACAAGTTGAATTGAATCATGAGGATAGAATCATCAAAAACCACCCAATAATAAACAAAGTCAAATGTCTGAGTCCTTCAACAAACTGGGGGGAACAGAGAACTGGAGAGAGAAACCTGATAAGAAATTTTTTAAAAATGTGCAAAAATAAACTATAATGCTAAATGTGAACACCTGGGTGATAAAACTATAAAGAAAGGCAAGAAAGCAATTACTGTAGAGAATATACTACTTCATGAACTGTATAGAGGTCACACAAAAAATTCACTTTATAATAATTAATAAGTTGTTGCTTGAGTAAATTTGTTTTATTTTTCAATTAAAAGTCAAAGACAAAAGCTAAATATGTGCTGTGACACACAGAGACTGAGCAAGCAATAAGTACTGTGTGTCATATACAGCATGTGCAAAACTTTGCCCCGATTTGTATGTTCCTGTTTATGCAATAAACTTCTGAAATATTAACCCTTCCTTATCTTTAAACTAAGGAAAATTGTTTTTCAAATTCCAAGTTGGTTTTTAGTAGAAGAGAGAAATAAATGTTGGTTTCCTAGTCAGAATCAAAAACCATGTATTTAACACAACATCATATAAGTTGTTCCTTCCTTCTCATCTATTTCAATTATATAAGTCTCATTGGTCAGAGGAGACAAAAAAGAGTCT